CATCAAATTATCATGCTGTCTCCCTCAGCTCTTCTCGGCAGGCCTCCGCTGGCGCTTGCTTTTTCTCTCCACGGGGCAGTAGGTCAAGCTTGACACAACAAGACATGAGAAGAGGCTCTCTAGGGGGAACACGTTAAAATCCAGAATGCGCACAGATATGAGGAGATGATCAAACAGTCAGGCAAGCACGGCAAATTAATTATTAACCGCTCGTGGGCAGGCAGGCGAGCCCCTGAATCTCCGGGTGCGGATAAACACACTTGAAGCGAAGTTCCAGAGAGTGGAGAGGATGAAGCCCGAGGACTTTCTGCTTCATTCTGAAGTCATTCTGAACACAAACGCACACAGGTTCGCCACTTTAGTTAGTATGAGTCATAATTGTTTGGTAGAGCAAAAACAAGACATCAAAAACACCATGGTTCTTTGAACCGTGAGCCCGGTGGAACAGCTCCGGTGAGATTTTCAGCATGTCCTTCTATAGCAGACGGACACTGACATTTCAGGAAAAAATAAAATAAAATAAAAAAAATTATTTTCATCATTTTATTTTAATACATTTTATTATTCTAATTTTAAGGATTTACCGCATTGTGACATTGTTTTCATGATATTTTCCAACCATTACAGTATCATAAGAAAGGAGAATCACTATTAAGAATTATACAATAATTGCAAAAACAACCTCAGAAGTAAAACATTTGTACAAGAATACAGTATGTTCGGGGGGAGGAGAGAATTGGCTGAATTATTATAAAAATAATAATAAAAAAAAATGGGGGTAATTAAAATGTACTCCTATATTGTGATATTATAGAAATAATAAAAAGTAAATGAAATAATAAAAAGTAAAATGTTATACAATAATATAGAAATAATAAAATATAAATAAAATAATTACATTTGTAAAAAACTGTATAAAATGTACAAAATTATAAAATTTTTAAAAAACATTTCTGAAATAATGAATAAAATATTCAACTAAATAAAAAGTTTGTCAAAAGGAACTGCGCTGGCTTGAGAAATCCTGGCAAAAAAAGTTTGAACGTTTTAAAATCTTGAAGTTTAAAATCTTGAAGTTTGAAACAGTAAATTTTTTAATAATAAAAAGTATATATATATATATACAGTGTCATTGTTCATTCATGTTAGTTAATACATTAACTAACATTAACTAATTGAACCTTATTGTAAAGTGTTACCTTAATATTAAATATCAATATATTATTTTTATTCACTTTTATGTAACAGAATCAGATATAAGTTTTTTTTTTGGACTAATTATCCAAACAATGTATAGTCCTAAGCTATTATTATCAGCATGTGAGCAAAGCATAGCATCACTGAAAGCATAATTTTACCAGCGTTGTCCAGTACAGCTGTACTACAGCATGTTACAGCACAGTAGCGCTATTGCAAACAGGAACAAGTAGGCTATACTACATAGACATTTTCTGTCGGCGCATTATTTGAGCTGACTTTGCATTTTGAGGTTTGTTATTTGAGCGGACTTTAAGCATGAGCGGTAGGCTACTACACGAGCAGAAGCACATTCATAGTGCGGAATATTGAGTGGCCGAGAATTTCTATTTCGGCCAAAAATTCGGTGCATCCCTCCCTACCTAGGATGCCTAAAGAGCAAGTAAATCATGGGATCATTTTCATTTTAGGTGAACTATCTTCATGTTAGTTAATACATTAACTAACATTAACTAATTGAACCTTATTGTAAAGTGTTACCTTAATATTAAATATCAATATATTATTTTTATTCACTTTTATGTAACAGAATCAGATATAAGTTTTTTTTTTGGACTAATTATCCAAACAATGTATAGTCCTAAGCTATTATTATCAGCATGTGAGCAAAGCATAGCATCACTGAAAGCATAATTTTACCAGCGTTGTCCAGTACAGCTGTACTACAGCATGTTACAGCACAGTAGCGCTACTGCAAACAGGAACAAGTATACTGCATAGAAATTTCTTGTCACCGCGTTATTTGAGCGGACTTTGCTTTTCTGGTGAGCATGAGCGGTACACGAGCACATTCATACGAGGAGAGTGAAACCTGCACGCTGAACACTGCGGGGCGCACCATATATATTATTATATGTAGATTTTCGGCTGTTTTTCTCTTTCGGCCGAAAAACGAAAATGCCATTTTCTATCACTTTTGCCGCTCAAAAAATGTTCATGCAATCATGCTGCACGGAGCGATCACACTAGTCAAACGAACCAGACTTTGGGGGTCAAACGCGCTCGGGCACAGTTAAGATTGCCTAGTGTGAATACACACTTTTATTCTCCCGCCCGCACCCGCACCCCCATCAAGTCTTGTCCCGCGCCGCACGTTGCGTTGGGTCCCGCGATCGTACAGGTTTCTACTCGGAAGGTGCCTGTTATAATGTTATGATCGAGGCTCTGGACTCTGAGCACAACTGGTTTTTCTATAACAAACTATAAAATATTTTCTATAAACACGTTAATGCCCTGGCAGTGGCAAATAGCTTTGGTTTTATATTTAATTGGATTACATTAATGTTTAAGTTGAGATTTACAAGAAATATTTTAACTGCTACTATGTAAAAGGAATACTGCAATAAAAAAGCACCTTATTTGTTTAAAGTGTTTGCAAACCAAATGTTATTGTACTTTTGTTCATATAGCAGTACTTTTAAATGAAAAAAGTGCGCAATACACTACTTTTGAATTCATTATTGAATTTTGCGCATAATGCGATTAATCACGATTAATCGCAGAGAAATCATGCGATTAATCGCGATTAAAAAATGTTAATCGTTGTCCAGCACTAATATATAGATAGATAGATAGATAGAATAACAAACATATATATTAAAAATGTTTTTAAGAATTTTATAAAATATT